TACTACTACTACTACTACTGCTTTTCGTACCAGTACTAATACTTATACTAATCTTAGTAGTGCTGGTCTCGTGCTAGTAGAACTACTAGTGGCACGAGTAGTACTACCAATGCTAACAGTAGTAGATGTACTAGTAATAGTCGTCGTCGTCGTCGCAGCAAGAGTGGGGGAAGAAATAGTAGTAGTAGCAGTAGCAGTAGCAGTAGCAGTAGTAGTAGTAGCAGTAGTAGTAGCAATAGGGGTAGTAGCAGTAGTAGCAGTAGTAGGTAGTAGCAGTAGTAGGTAGTAGTAGCAGTAGTAGTAGGAGTCATACTCGTAGTAGTCGTTAGTGGAGTAGTAGTGGTAGTAGTAGGAGTAGTAGTAGTAGTAGTAGTAGTAGTAGTAGTCGTACTAGTAGTACTAATACTAATACTAAGACTTGTACTTGTGATTGGCTCGACAAACGAGGCAGACTAGACAATTCGCTTGTTGCTTGATCCTTTCATGCACGCCCTGGTCTTCAAATTTTACTGCTCGTGCTGGCACATGTAGTGTTGTCTCCATGAAGACACGAGTGCTTACATAGTGGACATCGTACTCTCGGATTGTGACCTTGCAATCTGCTCTTGTAAATCTTGTAACTCTTAGTTCATAATTCGTGCGGTTGGGCCCGCTCCAATCAATGGCAGAATGACACATAACTGTTTGTCTGTTGAATGCAGTCACGAGGTCTCTTCTTGTTGGATTGGGGATATCGTTTGGTGAGCCTTGTAAAAAGGTTTCTGTTGGCCTTTGGTTGTTTCCTCGCTTGAGTCCTCGACTTACTGCGCTCACATCATGTCGTGTGACGATGGGTTAGTTTAGTGTTTAGAACCTGTCGCAGACATTCGGTGTTGAGAAGGTGCCAAAACTTCAAGGCACAACTCAACTTGCAGCGACTTTTCTTCGGGGGTTGAGGCTTTTGTTGTGGCTTGGATGAGTGCTTGGATGTTCCATTATTGTATTTTTTGGGGGGCTATCAATCTGTAAGCCTCGATTCCTGACACTCTCGTGAACCGTCAAGGCCTCGCCGTGCTGTCATCGATGTGCCAAGTGAGTGACAAAACTAGTATTGCTCCTACTACTGCTACTACTCGTCCTCCTGTTAGTAACACCACTCCGACGACGTCCGTGACTATGACTACGATTACGGCCACGAATAGTGCTACGGCTGCTGCTGCTACTGCGGCTATTGCGACCGTGAGTTCTGCTACAACCAATGCTGCAGCGGCGATAAAGACCCTGCAGCCCCCAGAAGTCTCCCGAAATATTTAAAAGGAAAACGCTAGAACACCAGCACTGCAAGCCGGTTTCTGTCAGGGCCAGACATCCGAACATCTCGCTCCGCATTCCGAGGTGGGTGGAGGTGAAGAAGCACGACGGTGTGGCTGCTTCAGTCCGCTTCCCAAAGGTTTTGAGCCTTTCACTCTTCAACTCTCTAACTCGAGAGTCGGGTTCACAGGGTGCTCGCTTTACAGTGCTGTTGTACGTATTATGCTTGCCAACACCTCGTTCTCAGCCATCTAGGCTCACTTTGGTAAGCCGCAGCTGCAGAAGTGAGCAGCCTGAAAACGTTTGCCATGAGTCTGTCGGTGATGAAGGGCTGGGATTCCAGACGTTGGGAGGCACTTGTTGGCATTTCATGTGTGGCTTTGGGCCTTGCTTCGGCTACAGCGGCTGCGCTCTTGCAGCGGCAGCCCAAGGGATGCAGCGCGATCAGCGGGGAGGGCCTTTTGGGAGTGCTCCCCAAGCTTTGGGCGGCAATCCGAAAGCACAAATTCCTGGATGAGGTCACCCAGATGCATGAGAAAGAGGGCAACACAATCTTCCTGCAGTTTGGCATACTCCGCTTCTTCGTCACGCCATTGGTCATAACTCGTGATGCCCGAAATGTCGAGTACATGCTTAAGCAAAACTTCGAAAATTACCCGAAGGGTGAGTTTTTCAGTTTGATCGCCCACGACCTGCTTGGGAATGGCATCTTCAACGTCGATGGTGAGGATTGGATCATGCAAAGGAAGACAGCCTCGCTAATGTTCACAGCCAACCGATTCAAAAATCACATTTGGAGGGTCGTCCAGAAGAACTGTGGCAAGGTCCTGGACTTGCTGCGAGCTCATGATGGGGATGTGGACATGTTCAATATCCTGAATCGTTTCACGTTGGATTCAATCGGGGAAATCGGCTTTGGAGCATCCATCGGATCCTTGGAGAATGCCGGCTCACCGTTCCTCACCTCTTTCGACGAGGCCCAGCGGAGCTTGTTCTGGCGCTTCATGTTTCCAGGCTGGCGTCTTCTGAGGTTCCTTGGCCTGGGTTTCGAGCGAAAGGCCAGGACCCATTTCAAGACCTTGAAAGAGTACAGCAGGCAGATCATCCTTGACCTTTCGCAGAATCTCGACACGGAAGCTGGGGACAGCTTCGTTGGCTTGTTCATGAAGAGTGACCCCTCGCTGTCCGCAGACTTTCTGACTGATATGGTCTTGAACTTCCTCCTCGCAGGGAGGGACACCACTGCGCAGGCCATGTCCTGGTGCTTGTTCCTGCTGATGCAGTCGGAAAGGGTCCAAGAGAAGGTCCGGAGCGAGATTTCTGAAGTTTGTGGTGCCGAGGGCATTGACTACGAGAAGCTCAATAAGCTTCGGTACCTAGACGCCACGCTGCGGGAAAGCCTTAGGCTGTACCCATCGGTGCCCTTGGATGCCAAGTTCGTGGCCAACGCTGACACACTGCCCGACGGGACTCATGTTCCGAGAGGAGCCGCCTTGCTCTACATGTCCTATGCCATGGGCCGATCGCAGGAGATTTGGGGCTCCGATGCATCTGAATTTCGTCCAGAGAGGTGGCTGGAGATGGAAACAACGAAGTCGCCCTACGAAAACCCAGTGTTCCACGCAGGGCCGCGCGAATGCCTCGGCAAGCGCCTGGCGATGGTGGAGATGAAGGGCATGCTGTGCGCACTCATCGGGAATTTCAACTTCCGTCTTGCAGTGCCTCCGGAAACCATTCTACCAGATGCGCAGCTGACGATTGGAATGTCATCCGGCCTAAGGTGTCACGTGGAACCGCTCTGAAACAGACGAGTTTCCAGCTGCTGCCAACTGGTCAACCGGCTGTTTAATTTGTTTGCTGTACAGACATCATTTTGCTTTCCTAATTCGTGCAGCGCTCGTACGCTCGTCAGCTTGTGTCGGCGTGCCAATTCCTTAGGGCTGCAGTGCCGGCATTTTGATGCCTCGCACGCATTGCAGGTTTATTTGCGAACGTCACGACATCGGTACATTTTGCGCCCAATCGTCAGACAGTCGCCGCACTGCCTGAAACCGAAACCCGAAACCCACCCTCCCAAAAGTTCCCAGGCCGGAATTACTGAGTCCATCGCCATGACCAAGAAGAAGGCCCCAACCTGGCGGCATCGGGCCGTGGAAGCTGCCAGAGTCTTTGATCCGGTTGCAGTCTTGTTCACTTCGAGCCTCCTCGTTTCCTTCGTTACTTGACAGTTCGTGTCTGAAGCATCCATTTCGCGTTGTCGTCCGCCGCTCTACACAAGTTGTGCCTGTTTGGGCCTGGGCTTCGCACCGGGGAGTTCTGGGGCAAGAAGGGCTCAGAAGGGCGTCAGCAAGGCGGTAGTGTTGCAGGCGCAACGATCGTGGGTTGTGAGACCCTTTCTGAGGTCTTACGTCTTAAAGCCTTCGCAGTTTCAAGATAGGTTCGGGCTTGGAACCGAGCCTCAGGCCTTTGAGCCGGTTCCTTTGCAACGACATGGTGGGACTTGGATGTGGGGTTTAGGGGATGTATCGCAAGCCTTGTGGCTTGGTCAGCGGAAAGAAAGACACACACCATCCACAAGAAGAGAAGCTGCCGGCACCTTCCACTTCACATCGGCGTGCAGCTCTAGCTACAAAATTTCCCGAATGACAGCTATCTATCTATCTATCTATCTGTTTATCTATTTATCTAGCTATCTAGCTATCTAGCTATCTTGCTATCTATATACCTATCTACTCATGTACCTATCGATATGTCTATCTGAGGACCTCTTATTTACTCATCTATCTATGTGCACGCTAGAACATGCGCCAAAAGCATAGTCTGACTCTAGAAGGCCTGGTCCCCCAAGCAGCGCAGGAGACAAGCGCGACTGCTGAACACTAAACCCGCAAAACGCCGGATCCAGCAACGCGATGCCGCTTCGCGTGCTGGGCCATGGTGCGCTGCATGCATGGCGGAGACGTCCATCGAGGAGCTAACCCAGGCATGACAGCGTGTTTTTGGGTTGGGGTCTAGAGTCTACATTGGAGCTACCTGTACATGACTGGCCGACCTTGGCTGTCCCTGTTGTTGCCGTGTTTGGGTGTCGTGTTTGTTTTGTGCGGTTGCTGGGTGCCTTGATGGCTTCTCTACATCTTCTGTTTCTTGAAGCGAAGATCATCCCCCGGATGCTCTTATGCTTTTTTGTTCGCCTTGTGTTTGTTCGCTTTACAGCAGTGGTTTTCTGACATTTGATTCTGTCGTCAAGTACGGGCATTAACCTGTAATTCCCTTTTAAAATCTCAGACCCGGAAAACCGAAACACCCCTGAACCTAAACATCAGTAAACTCTCAGTAAACCCTGCAAATACCGTACACATCCCTGCATGCCGAATGTACCGTCCCTTTGTTCCGACCTCTACTGTAACTCTGCGATGAGTTGCCGTGCTTGAGGCAAGCAAACATCCGCAAAACCTGAGCCCTAAGAAAAGCCTTGCCTGGAGAGTCGGAGTTGCGCCTAAACCCTGTCCTAAACCCTACAAGCAGTCAAAACGCATAGACATAGTTCAAGCCTGACTACTGACCTGGTGTCGCCAGCTATCTCCTGGCCAGAATGGTTTTGAGCCGCTCCGTGCACATACTACCCTAAGCCGTTCAGGTTTTAGACCCGTTTGTGCAGCGTTGCTCCGAGTTGTCATTAGTGTCGCGATTGGATTACATGGAGCCTTGCCTGCCTTGTGCGAGTTGTGAGAGTCGAACGAAACCCATACCAGTCCTTTGTTGGCTTGTCCACGAGTGAGCAAGGGTACCTTCCTTAGCTTTGCTTCTGATAGGGTCTTACTGTTCCTGCTTCGCCTGCATCTGTTCCGAGTCGCAAGGGTGTCCTAGAGAGCCTTTTGACATTTCTAAAGCCCCCAATCCAAGCCCACGCCCAGAGACCCCAAGCCCACCAAGTCGATACCCTTAAACCCCAGAAGCTTCTCAACCCTACACCCCCAAGCCCATCAACCCGAACTGCAGGTGCTGCGTTCACCGGAGGATCTTCGCGAGCTGCTGATTCGGAGCCTCGAAGCCTCCGAGGCTTAGGAAAAGTTCAGCTCGGGCTGTCGATAATACCGGGTTTCCATTCTGCTGGGGAGCCATCGCCTGGTTTGTCGGAAGGTTCCTGGCCTTCTAAATGAGGTGCGATGAGTCTTCTCGATGAGTGGGGGAGCTGCAGGAGTGTACATGTTTTCGGCATGTCATCTCCAAGCTCTAAGTAGAGCGCAACGTATCACGGCACTTTGAGTTACAGCCTGCGTATTGCTGCGCATGCTTGCCTATGCGTAGCACGCATACCGCATACCCACACGGAGCTTCGGTTGTATTTCGAGCGTGTGCTTGGCATGGCTCCCAAATCATCAGATCAGTTTTACGAAGGGCTTATCAGCAGAGTAATGTATGACTTTATGACTTAGATTTAGGAATATTGGTGGTAGAGCCTGAATGAACAAGAGCCCAAAATGAAGAAGATTCAAGGGGTCTGTAATCAGGCTCCTACAAGTGGACAGTCTTGCAGGCTCATGTTCAGCGCCTCGCCGCCGAGAATGCAGAGCTTGCCAAGGAGGGACGTGGCTGGGTGCCGACACCTCCAGCCTCATGAGAAAGGGGTCGGATAGTAAGCGGGTTCCTTAAGCTTCCCCCATCGGCCCCTGTGTAAGTTCTAGGCAAGGTCATGAAGGCTTCCAATATGGCAACCTCCGGTCCTCGATGTGGAAGGAAACCTAGAACACGCAGAGTCACCAGCAGCGGTGCGCCACTGCAGAAGGGTTCATTAGATCGTGCCATTGGGATACTACCGTTCACCGCGGAGCCCGAGCGTTTCCCCAACGAACACTGGCACGAGGCCCACCTCGAATCGCTGCGGTGCAGCGAGGCCGTCTGGGATTCACAGTTTAGGTTTATTTCTGAGCCTTAAGCCTTGGGCTGCTTGGGCTTGACGATGCTCATGACCTACTGCATATGCAGCCCCTGCATACTAGGTCAAACAGGAATCGTGTATGTTCGGACCCGAATGCTGCCGGCCGGCGAAGGAAGGGGCTGGCGTGGCTTTGCGTCGGGAGCTCCAAAGGCAGAAGGCCTTCGACAGTTGCTGAGGGGTTCATGGTTTAGGCTTCCGGGTGTAGGTTACGATGGAGTTGGTTACACTGTCGGTGAGTGCGGGAAACATGTTGTTTCGTTACTGTGGCCATGGATGCTTCGGGTTGGGATCACAGAGCTTTGTGGGGCTTTCCGGGCAGTTCCGCTTGCGAGGAGCCTGCCGAGTGAGCTTCATCGTTCAAAGACCTACTGGAAGTAAGGGCTTCAAGACCTTGTGGAGTTTGAGCCGCACAGCAAACTTGCGACATGCCGCCACCACCGAAAAGGGAATTGCGACTAAATCTCAATTCCCCCGAGCTCCCAACCCTGAAATCTGCTGCCCGTGTTCCACCAGAAGAACAAGCCCAATAGCCCTCTTACCAGATGGAGTCCAATAGTAGCATCCTAAACTCCTAAACTCAAACCCTTAAGCCCCAAGCCCTAAAGCTTAAACTGCTTAAACTATGTGGAGCCTTGTGCGAGAAGAGTGAGAGTCGAAAGCCCACATTCCAAGCCCTGCGCCCATCTTTCCCGCATGACAAAGGCCGTTACAGCAGAACCCCCAAACCCTGAGAGTGAGAGTCGAAACCCAAAACCAGCCTAAATACTTGAACTCGAAGAGCGAAGTGAGAGGCGTTGCAGGAGGCGGAGGTCCACGCTGTTCAGAGCGACACTCTTCTGGTGCTGTTAAAGCAGTTTTTTTTCGTTTCTTTTCGGGGCAGCGGCGTGTGTATGGTTGGGGGTTTTGTTCAGCGGGTGTGTTATAGGCTTATAGGTTCGATGAAGGTGTGGGGTTTGGAGGCCGTGGCATGAGCGGCAAGAAGGCTATGGTGACCCTCGACATACGACTGGCTTGCGCATCTGGAAACGGTTTGTCCTAGTAAAGGGTTCTGGAGCTGGGATGAAAGCTGGTGACCGATGCTCTCAGGAGCTTGACTGGTCTGTTTGCTGCATCAAAGCCCTGGAGAACATGCACCAGTCCTTCGATGGGCTGCAGGCAGAGAACACGGGAAGAGTGAAACGGCTGACTCTTGTGTCGGTGCCTGTCTTTGCATGTCTTGAGAACTGTTTGCTGATGGGGCAGACTTGTGAGCCGCCGGAGCAGGCGACCCCGATGCAGCGACGATTGGAGGAAGAGCAGGCTAGCCTTCAGATGCTCGGGTACAAGTGGTCTTCTCCTTTTCATGAAGTGTCTTGAGTCTTCATGCTGACTATCACTTATTGCGGTGGTACTTCTGGCTAGCGAGTATCTTCTGGTGCCCTGATTGGCAGTGGTTTCCCCGTGCTTCAGGACTTAGGCTGCATGTGCAACCATGCATCACATTCTGCACAGATGGGCCGGTCAAGTTGGTGCTACTCGTCCTTGGTCTAGTCGTCCTGAAGGGCTGCCCCTCTCCGGCAGATTGTGGTCTAGTTGACAGCCCCGCATCTTCTGACTGAAAGCGGTTGCTTAGGATGGATCTGGATGCTGCGAGAGGCTGCAGTGGGGCGGGGAAGGAGTTCTTGGCAGAACGTTGCGTTAGGAATTCAAGCGTGGCCAGCAAGAGAGAAAACCATCACATCAACACTCAACACCACACCAAGTATCAGTACCAGTAGTAGAAGTAGTAGTAGTAGTAGTAGTAGTAGCAGTAGTAGTAGTAGTAGTAGTAGTAGTAGTAGAAGAGGTAGTAGTAGTAGTAGTAGTAGTAGCAGTCGTAGTCGTAGTGGTAGCAGCAGCAGCAGGAG